GAATCACAAAAGTGTTTTCAAATATATGCCAAAGTGTCCAGGCAAATTTAATAATTAGTGTTGCATGGTCTTCGGCAGCTACTGTACATTTAACCTAATAAAACCGTCAATTTTGTTTCTTTTAATATTAGGTGAAGAAATTGTGTAGCTCTAAAGTACGTTTTACTTCTTATTCCTGCATGCATGTGTTTGCATGGCGTGGGTGTGATCACAGTTGTAATACTACCTTTCGTGTCGCTGTGTACATTACCGTAGTTTTGGAAGGAATCCTGGCATGCAGCATATAAGGACAATACACTGGAGTACGGGCTGAACCCCATCCTATTTTTTCTTAATATTCTCTAACACAAGCACACTGCTCCGAGGACTGACCCCGAAATCATGCAATGTTCTGTCCGAGGATTTAAAATAAAACTTGAGTCTTGATGTAATTGATGCTGTTCTATAGTTTAATTTCATAACTATTTGGCTATATTAGGGTGATGGTTTGGAACATAGGTCCTCACTGGCACATGGTACGTGTGCCTTCTCAAAAACTTGACACATTTCTCGATTTTTGTGACGCAATTATGTTAAGAAGAAAGAAATCGAATATGTTTTTTTTTCCGCAGACTCCTGATACCATATCAGTTCTTCGTCAAAATCTATGCGAAACTAGGTCACCCTGATTTTTTTTTCGATTTCTGACTGAAATATAAAGCATAAGATAATTTTACCCGGCCATGCATTATCCCGTTTTTCTGTTTTACAGATCGTTTACATTGTCTTTTGCAATAATGTTTGAATGCTATATGTGCAATGCCAATACTGACGTTTGTTGGCTAGCAGAACAAATATATTGGGTAAACTGTAGAATAACAAAATACTACCCAAAGTGTCATTATCTGTCATGTAGAAGTCACGGTAGACTATTCAGGCTCCCAACTATGATATGAGGTCCTTATTGACAGGCGTCCCAACAACGCCTTCAACTGCACGGTGGTATCGACTATCAGTACGACAGTTTTCCACGTTATACATTTTCATTTGTTTGCGGTATCCATACTAGTGGTCAATAAGTATTGCAGCAAACAGCTACAGACCAGCCATGCCCAAAAATTTTGGAATTATGTTTCATGATACTTAATATAACAGCATAAGCAGCATATTATGCGTTTCCTGTAGTACGTCATTTATTGATTCTTGCTTGAATACTAACACTCCATTTAGAATTTGACCGACATCTATCCCTCAATGAAAATGCAATGTCGCCTCACAGATATGTATTTTATCCTGAGCGTAACTATTGCCTGCTGGATTCTGCCCAACTATGTTCTTAAGAGCGGTAAACTCCCGACATTGCTGCTTACAAACATGTTGACTGCTGCTGACACCTTCGACCTGTTGAATTGTCTCGATGAACCTCTGGCTCCTATACCCGACATATGGAGGACGGTCGTTTATGTATGGCCAGCCAGTCTACTTCACCTCGTCTGCAATAATATATCGACCTTTGCGGATACTGCTACTGACGCCGAAAGTGGCTGGGATGATTCTGAATCTCAGTCCTCGAGCACTGACTATTCGGGATCTGACTCTTCGGGGTCTGACTCTGGATCTTGGTCAGAGTATGTGGTGGAGACCAATAATCAGCATTTTCTCTTGCGCGGTTCCAGTAACATTGCTACGTTCCAGTCAAACAGTTCACCATCGGAAGAACGTATTACATGCCCTTTCTCTGTTATCGTCGGTGGTGGGGTATTGGAAATCCTACTGTCCGTAGTGCTCCAGGACTTGCCGTTTTTGTGCTGGCGTTGTAACCTGCTGTCCCGCGTTAATCGCTACAACCCCAAAATCTATTTCTTTGCCGCGAAAAATTTACTTTTCATTATAGTGCAGGTATTTCAAGGGTCGGTCCTGCTGCATCAGCGTTTGAGATGTATGTGATGTTAATTCCCGCTGATATCATAAAAACGCGTCCGCCTATTCTGCTAGGCCGCACACTTCTTGCGTGAAAAAAAACTTTATAGATGCAGTTCCCGAGACTAACTGTCTCATTTTCTTTCCGTTTTTATTAACTAATATTCACAGTTCTAACTTGTCTATGTTGCCAGCTTAGTGGCACATTCTTTTAAATGTTTATGCCCTTATTTTGAAATAAAAAAAATCATGAGTGTTTAATCATCCAGTCTACTCCACGTGTTATT